ACAGCAACAACAGGCATTTGTTCCTCAACAGACTGGAATTGGCTTCCGGAGCACTAATATCCCAAGCCCTCCACCGATGCCTGGTCAATTCGGAATGCAGCAGCCAAATGCAATAAATACATTCAACACCATGAATCAACCAACAAGCCAGCTTCTCCAAGGCAGACAGAGGCCACTTGCACCTGCTATCACAAGCACTACTAGGAGCAATCTCTCCATCCCGCCGCCTCCTGCAAGGCCGGTTTCTGCTCCACAGAACTTTACAACGCCAAACAGTGCTCCAAACCCACTTACCCCCTCGTTCACCGGCATCCAACAACCCGTGAATTACAGCTCGAACCAGGCACAACAGTTCCCGTTCCAGTCACACGTTGGAGGAGTGCCAAGTTCTTTGTCAATGCAACCAACCGGTTCTACGTTTTCTACTCTGGGTACTGGTTTCTCAGTGCCAACGATTGGTATGAGCGGCCAACCCCTAAATACTGGAATTCAGCAGCCTATGCCACAACATCCACCTGTGCCAGCGTTCCAAGCACCAATCATTTCGCAGCCAACTGGCGCACTGCTGATTCGGCAGTATGGCATTCCGCAGCAGCAGCAGACTAGTTTCCAATCTTCAATAAATACTCAGCCGACTGGGAGAGGGTTTGGCGTCAATTCAGTTTTGCCGCCCGCATTAATTCCCCAACCCACTGGCCTGCAACCCGCAACTACCCTTGTGCCACAAAAGACGGGTCCCCCACCGGCTGTGAAGTTTGGAGTAGACGCGAAGAAATTGACGCCACAACCAACTGGAAGGGCAAACTTGAGCAAAGCTAGTACGTATCTCTTACTATCTAGGAATGTTGTTCCTTTTGCTAACCCATCTGAATTATACAGCCCCAGAAAATCCATTCGGATTTTAACCTTCTGTTCATGCTAACTAGGGTAGCAAATCGGAGGAGGTAGAGGGTAAAGGGTAGAGATGGAGTGTTCGGTTTCATTGGGTTATTTTTTCCCCCTTCCTTCTCTTTCTCCCCTATTAGCTCCCTAAATCATCCATTACTCTTACCGCCATCGGCATAATGTGAGTTTGTGTCGTGCAGGGAAAAGCTAAAGCAGAACCAAAATGGACACCGAGTCAACACTATTTCACTGAGCAGTCTTTCTCCCCCTCTCTCCTCCCTCGCGCGGTATATATACGCCACTCTAGTTCGTCGCGTCTTATCGTATCGTATAATTTTTATATATTCCTTCCTCTTTCTCCTTCTATTTTGGTATCATATCCTTGCGGACACCCCCTTTTCCTGTATTGTACGTTAAACCTAGCGGTTGACAAGATTTTTTTCTTTCTCGTTCCTTGGGCATTGATTGGGTTGCTGTTGTATTGTTCTCTTTTTATTCGCCCGTGTCGGAGGCCCCTGTTGTATATCCACGGTACGATGCCGTATGGTAGGATGCGGTATGGATGGTAGCGCTGCACATGTCTGTCTGGTATTTTCTTTCCCTCTAACTTAGCCTTCTCATTCCGTTGCATTCTACTTTTAATGAAAACATAGACGATCATAGCCCCCCACCACCCTCGAGTGATAACTAGTGATCCTTAACCGAAGTAAACAAGTGATAATAGCACAAATTGTAGCCTATTCATTCTATCAGGCTAGAAAAGAAAGAGCGAAGAAAAGGAAAACATCTCTATTATATAATAATAAGCATGGAACTTCTAGGATGTCCCGAATGGAATAACCCACTACCACTTCGTTTATTATCGGATAGCAATATCCCGGATATTTAGCGACGTAAGTGAATTTTGAAAATGTTTGCTACAGTGCCCCAGACCAAAACTTCCCACGTTTACAAGAGAGCCCATGAGAATGTCTCAACAGCGGGGAGTGGACCGGGGAGGGGGTTTGTTACTCCCGAGGTTTGACGAGTACAGCCGGGCAAAACTTCTTTGCTCCTACACTACCGATACACATACCACCACTTGCGCGACTGTGATGGGTACCACGGGGAAAGACTAGATTTCCGGGAATAGCCCGAAGCCTCTAGGGGATGATATGATAGCATGATAGCCTCGGGAAGCCCGCTTGCTATTGAATTATTCCTTCCTTTTCTTTTCCTTTCTCCTTTTTGAATCGATAGGATACAGGAAGAGTTCTTGGCTTGAATATACTTTTCCGAGAGGGGTTTGTAACATAGGTATAAAATTGTCATATCATAGCCAATTGTGGGAGCACTCGATGTTCTCAGCAGGAAGAGCGGGGTTATGTTGGGGATGATGTCTTGAGCATGAGTATCCAGCTCTATATACCCCCCCGTTTCGATATAAAACTAACAGATACCACAATACAGCTCTTCAACTACGCCAAAGCCAACAAATTCGCCATCTCCGCCGTTGCCAGTCCTCCCCCCCGACCCCCTCAACCGTCGCGGCAGCCCTGGAAGCCGCCAGGGACGCCCACTCCCCAGTAACCCTACAAACCTCCCAAGGCGGTGCCGCCTACTTCGCCAGCAAAGGCGTACCAAACAGCAACCAAACAGCCAGCATATCCGGCGCCATTGCAGCAGTGCGCTACATCCGGGCGATCGCGCCCGCCTACCAAATCCCGGTAATCCTACACACAGACCACTGCGCAGCGAAGCTCCTCCCCTGGCTGGACGGGATGGTATCGGCGGACGAGGCGTACTTCGCCGAGCAGGGGGAGCCGCTTTTCAGCTCGCACATGATCGACCTGAGCGAGGAAGACAAGGACTTCAACATCGCCACCACGAAGGAGTACCTGCCCCGCCCGGCGCCGATGAAGCAATGGTTGGAAATGGAGATCAGGATCACCGGATGTGAGGAGGATGGCGTCGATAACACCGGCGTGGATAATAGTGCGCTATATACGCAGCCCGAGGATATCTAGGAGGTGTACTGTACAGCACATTGATGCCCGTCTCTCCGTACTTTTCCATCGCAGCCGGGTTCGGGAATGTGTATGGGGTTTACAAGCCCGGCAACGTGAGGCTGCACCCAGAGCTACTCGGGAGGCATCAGGAATTCCCAAAGCGGAAGATTGGAGGGGGAGATGGGGAGGACAAGCGACTATTTTGGTCTTCCACGGTGGATCCGGGAGTATGATATTAAGGCTGGGTTTGAAACAGCTATTGGGCACGGGGTTGTTAAGGTTATTTTGGATACCGACCTTCAGTATGCCCTTCTCCACCAAGAAACGTAGAAAGGGGGAGGGGGAGCTAATACAAGGTATGATATCTTATAGATACGCACACTTAACCGGTATCCGTGATTTTGTTCGTACGTTTCCAATTCCCTTCCTATACGTACTGGATACTAACGATCCACAGTCAGCAAGAAAGACTACATAATGCAGCAAGTCGGTAATCTAGAAAGTGATGACAAGCCCAAGAAATACTTCGAGTTAGCCCCCACCTTCCCCTCCTGCCTACCTGACTTATAGAATTAACGTGATATGATACCTGAATAGTCCCGCGTCTGGGTCCGTGAAGGCGAAAAGACCATGTCTACCCGTGTGAAGGAGGTTCTCCATGACTTCAACACTGCGAATCAGCTCTAAATTGGGAGCAAGGAAATGGGCCAGTTGGTGGAAGTGCTATCCTTTCTCTCCGGGAGCTCCGGGGGCTCTTCTGTGAATCAATTTTTGTTGGAAATTGAGGAAGACGGACAGGATAAAACCGGTAGTAGTTGCAACGGTAATGACTGAAAGGTGGGTTTTACGCAGTGGATAGAGTTGGCTCTGATGGTAATGAGGGAACTTTGTATTGCGTGTGTGAACAATAGAGAAAGAGGAGTGAGGAGAGTTTCGTACAAGAGGTGTGGAGTAGAGTTGGTTGACTTCTTGAGAAAGAAAGAAAAGAAAAGAATGAAGGGAAATGGGGGGGTGAAAACCTTTCACTGCTTACGCGTCCTCATATGAGAGGTACGCACACCACCGTAGTTTCCAGCTACGGGTACTTAACTGCCATTTTCAACAATTTTCCGTGTTTCAAATTCTCGTGACTAGTCCTCGTTGAGCACTCAGAAGTAGCTATACGACCTGCTTCCGCGCTGTACGTCAAGCTTCACCATTCTGTGAAATTCGTTTGCAAACCGGCCAGAACCACGCCTAGAGCAACATCGTGTCATAGCCCTCTATCATAAAGTACAGTAGCATAATCACCCCCCCCCCTCTCCACCCTATCATACAAAGCAACCCCCCCCCTTTCCCCTTTTTCCCTCTCACCAATCCCTTATTTCGCAGCCTCTTTCTTCCCCCCCGGCCTCTCCACCCCCGGAAACTTAACCCCCTTCGTGAGCCCCACAGCCCCCCACGTCAGTCTGCCCACATGCGGCTGAACATTCCAATGAAACGACAGGGTAACATTGTCGCGGCCGGCGAACTTCCCAGTAATATCATTGATGCTGTACTTTGCGCGCTCGTTCTTCAAGATCAGCTTCGAAGCAGAGCGGGATGGAAGGATAGTGTCCCAGATCACGATTTCGTTATCAGTCTAGACAAGTCAATATGAGAGCACCGACGACGGGAGAAAGGGGGGACAAACATATTTAGACCCCGGATACGTCGCAGACACGTATGCGAATACCTGCTTTGTATTCCAGTTGAAGAGGGAGGAGAGGTCTATTTTGTTTACCCATCGCAATCAGTCCACTTATACCCCGAGGAAGCGCGCTCGCGCAGAGCAAGGTAAACTAACCAGCCTCCAAATCGAAATACAAAACCGCATACTCCTGCACTTTCGATGTGTAGTATTGGTGCGCCCTTCCTTTAGCACTATATATATATCCTCAGGATTTCACATCAGCACCCACCCATCCGTCCGCCCCAGATAGAGGGGGAGAGGGGGGGAATGAAGGGGGGGGATACGGTACATCTTAACGTTGTTCGTCCCTATAACATCCACGTTCACATCCGCGGGATACAGCAGCGAAGACAGGGCAACCAGACCTGCCACAAAGAATGCCACTGTGGTCAAGAAGCCGAAGACATTCTGGGCTCGGACTAGTGTTGAATGCATTTCTTTTTTTTCTCTTTTATTTCCCCCACAATTTATTATACACTTCGTTCGTTTCGGTTCGGTTCGTTGCTGCGGGTAGGGTAGGAGAGCTGATGGTGGTAGTGGTGGTGCTTCGATAGCTCTCTCTCTCTCTAAAAAAAAAGGCTTTGCTTTTGCTTTGCTTGATCGGTTGAGGCCAGAATGCGTGTTTGGTGAAACCTAACCCTGATGGGGTAAACCCCAAATACTGTACGAGTACTAGTATCGTACCTGAGGTTCTATGATATGACAACTACGGTACCAGTACTTGTATCATACCTGCAATAGAACATTGCGGATGTTATCATGTCTCGAGTAATCTTCGGCGCAATTTATGCACTACCGTACTGCGTTCATGGACTTTGACTCAACTACCGTTAACCTAGGGACGAGTGCCAATAAACTGGATATACAAAATTTCCACTCTCCACCATCACCAGTAGACTACCATCACTACGATCAGTTCCGTATTTTACGTGGCAATCGGCCAGAAAACATGCACTGAGAGGATTCCCTGAACGCCAAGGGTTACCCGGCCAACCAACCCTAAACAGGAACAAGCTATCAAACCGGTATGATACTGGTAGTCATGCTGGCACTGTCTGCAGTGTTCCCTTTTCACAATGCCAGTAGTCTAGAGCATTTGAAGCCTCACACAGTTTCCTAGGCCGTATGGTACTGTAACATACGGAGGGGGAGAGGGATCCACTTGTAATAAATGCTACTGTAGACTACGGTATCACCCCCACACCAAGACAATTGCACTCCCCTAGGAGGAGGAGGGGGAGCATAGGGAAGAGGAAACGTAGCCGCTCTTTTCCACACAGTCCACCCCACTTGTTTACTCGTACACGCCCCAAAATACCCTTATTCTCTCATACTGGTATGATAAAATAAGATAAAAAGGGGGGTGTAGACTATAAAGCATCATTCCCCATCCAGCCACTCCCGCTCCCTTTCCTTTCCAAGCAGACGAAGGCGCAAAAATGTCCACCACCCTACGCAAGAACCGTATCGTAGTCTTCAGCGGCGGCAGCGCAGCAAACAACCTTATAGACGTCTTCAGGCACCTTTGTAAAGACTCACGCCCTCTGGATTTTATCCTTCCCATATCCGATAACGGTGGCAGCACGTCTGAGATATTGCGGGTGTGCGGGGGGCCGGGAATTGGTGATGTTCGGAGTTAGTTTCTTCCGACCCGTTCCCTTCCTTTCCCACCCTGTATTACAGTACATCTGGGTTAATCTAGGATTGGTTAGGTCGTCTGATAAGACTCGTTCCGGAAGATACGGATGGAGAGCGCGGCGCTATCCGGAACCTCCTGAATTACAGACTGCCCGCTGATCCCGGTGGGGCGCGATTGGAATGGTACGGGATTGTAGAGGGGACGCACGCTCTTTGGGAGGGGGTGAGCCATTTCCTCCTCTCCCCACCTTCCCATCCTCTAACACCACCAGATCCCCTCCGAAAAACGCGAACTCCTCCGCTCCTTCTTCAACCATCTAAACCTCGAACTCCTAAAGCGCCAACGCCCAACAGCCCACTTCAACTTCCACAGCGCCTCAACGGGAAACCTGTTCTTGACTGGCGCCCGCTTCTTTACGGGCTCCTTCGAGTCGGCGATATACCTCTTCCACTCGATAACCGGCGTACCATCAAACATCTGCGTCATCCCGGCAATCAATTCTAACCACGCGCACCACATAGCTGCAGGTCTCGCAGATGGGTCCGTTATTATCGGGCAGAACGAGATCTCGCACCCGAGCGCTTCGTCTGCTTCGCTGCTCTCGCCGGAAGATACTCCTGCAGGGTCCGAGGCGGGTGGCAGTGGTTCTGACAACGAGGGGGAAGAGGAAGGGGGGGATAATTTACCCGGATCGTTGGCGTCGCTGAGAAGTCAGAATATTGTGTTTTCAAAGGGACACGAAGATAATGAGGAATTGTCGGATAGGATTGAGAGGATTTGGTATATAAATTTGTACGGGGAGGAGATAAGGCCTCCGGCGAACCCAAAGGTTGTTAGTTCTTTGGGGTCAGCCGGGGCGGTGATCTACAGCATTGGGAGTTTGTACACAAGTCTTATGCCTTGCCTTGTGCTCCGGAATATTGGTAAGGCATTGGCGGGGAGTGGGAGGAACACGCCCAAGATATTGCTACTGAATGGGTCGCATGATCGGGAGACAGGGCCAGATCATGAGGAGTTTACGGCTACGGATTTTGTGAGGGCTATTGTACGGGGGTGTACCTCTTCCATGGGGGAGAAGGAAGGTGGGGAGATTGGATGGAACAGGTTCGTTACGCATCTCGTCTATCTGGAAGGCAATGGGGCTCCTGTTGTGGATACAGCCGAGTTGAAGAGGACGGGGATAGAGTGTATGAGGGTCTATGGGAGGAAGAATCCCGACGGAGAAGGAAGGGGGATGTTGTATGATCCTACGGCTCTTGCTCAGACCCTTGAGACGATTCTGGCTGCGAGAACCAAGGGGGCCGACGTCAGGAGGATGACCGTAGGCGCATATGGGAGGTCGCTATAATATCCGCTATCAGATTAGACATCAGATTTATAGAATTTGCCAGATACACTCCCAATAACAGAATGGATCATCGACATCACACAATCCGAGATCACCGGTCGTATATCGCTCGCGGCACAATTTTCTTTGTAGAGAGCGATCAAATATCCGGTCGGAGGTGCCGATGCCCTTAACCTAAACTTCTATGCCATAATGATCCACAGACGCAACACCGTAACCCAACCGTATTTTGCAACTTTTGTAGCAGGAGAAAAAAAAGTATCCAATTTTTTATTTTGGTATTGGCTTCGTTTAGTCGAAGAGGCCGAAACCCATGTCCTCCTCGGACTCCTATGGAATTCATTAGCAAACTGCCTCCTAACCATAGCCTGAAGGAGAGTGCTATGAACCTCCTTCTCCTCTTCCTTCTCCTCCTCCTTGGTCTCGGCAACCGCACCACCGGAAGCAGCTGCTCCACCAGAGGCAGCACCACCACCTGAACCACCAGTTGGAACAGAGGCAAGCTTGGTAGAGCCCTCGGCGATCAACTGGGATTTGAAAGAAAAAGGTCAGCCCCAATTCAGTGAAAAAATCGGCAATAATTTCATGTGTGGCGGACTTCGTTGATATCCTTTCCTTCAAGCTCCTTCAGAAGAGTAGACAGACGCTCCTCATCAGCGTCAATACCAGCAGCGCCCAGAACACCTTTGATGTCGTCAGCAGAAGGAGAGTCGTTTCCGGCAAGGCCGAGAAGGAGGTAGGCTGCGAGGTGCTTCATTTTGGTTTATTTGTTCTGTGGGGATAAAACCAATTATAAGATCGTTTGCTCCGGAGAGAAATTGTCACAAAAATCCAAGGTGTGCACTCACAAGGGGGGGTTGCTGAACAAGAGAAACAATCAAATTTAACCGCGTTGGACCGGAGAAAGCTCTTCGTTGTTCGAAAGGGAGGTCGTTGATGGTTGTTGGTTGTAGGGGGAGCTTTACTCTCCTCGATTTTCATGGTGGGGGGAGAATTGTGTGAGTGGCTAACTGGTGTGACTTGCATTGCAGGGAGAATCAGGGCAAACGAAAGTTGGACATGGGCCACAGGTGCCACAGGGTAAAAGTAAACTCAACCCTTAGCCCTAAAACACAATAAACATGAACCGATGTGGCTATACGATCATAAAATGTGGCTTTTCGGCGGTGCTCTTGGCAAGGAAAGCCTGCGCGTCTCTGTCTCCGATGATTATTTTTCACTATCGACAGACTTAAGGATCGAGCACTCTTTTCCTATTTCTTTGTGACTCTAATCTCGCTCCGTTTTCTTTCTTTCTACATCTCCGCTGTCAAATGCCATTTTGACCGGCTCGCGTTTACCCTCTTCCTCTTCCACGCAGTCTCTCCACCAAGTCTTCGTCGTGTCCGTTCTCCTCTCAAACTTTGCACTTACCCGTCGGTTTTGTGGTCGCCTTCACCTTTTTTTTCTCTTCCAAAACTGCTCTCTCCCTCTCTTTCTCCATTCTTCCCCCTTCCCTTCGATCAAGCTCCTCCCCCACTTTTTCACATACTCGCTCCCTTTCTTTAGACACATTTTCCTAGTTCAGTCCCGAGTTCGCGATTTAAAAAAAATTTACCCTTACTTTACGCCCAACTCATCTCTTTCCTTCCAACAGCTCCCTCTCCCCGTTACCTCACCGTCACCATCTGCTATCGACGCTCGTTGTCGTCAGCCACACGGAAACCCTGCTCCCCAGCGTTTTTTTGTCAACCCTCAACCATCATCCCCCCATTCATAATTAGTCCCTTTGCACGTTAAATATTTCAGTCTCCCACCACCTCGTTGCCCATATCAATAATACCTCTTCCTTCCACTCACGACCACGACCACTGCCACACTCCAACCGACAAGCGATATCCGGCGAACGACCACTGCGGTCGATATAAAGCAGTACCCCTTCAAAATGGTGTTCAACGACTCTAATCCTTCGGTACTTTCTCCAATTTTTCCCTCCTCCTTTCTGTTACTTCTCGCTAGATTTGTTGCTAAATTTCTGTTTTTACGGGATAATGCAGTTCAGCATCTCCAGCATCCTAAGTCGCTACGACTCCTCTGCCACCGCCACCACGCCATCCACAATCTCCAAACCGCTTCCTACGAAGAAACTGGTTAATAATGCAAGGCCAAGTATGTTTTCATTCTCCCTTGTAATTCTTATTTCTTCGTGCGATTTCGACTCCAGTTCTTTGCTTGCGTTGTTTAAGCCAACCTATTGACGCCCCTACTGACACTTCATGTCCACCTTTGACAGATGGTACTGGCTCCGGTCCAATCACCTCCACCACCACATCACCACCCCGATCCTCCCTATCGTCTACGTCCAAGTCCGCTGCATCGCAAATGTCTCGAGATACCACAACAAAAGTGGTAACTTCATCCAAGCCGGACATCAACTCTATCAAAAGGCGCAAGACCGAAGAAGTTCCAAAAAGTTCATTGGAGTTATTGAAGGAGAGGAAGGAGTTACTTCAACGCAAAAGCGGGGGGGTGACTACTAGCACCTCAACTGCTGTGTCCAATTCTACCAGCAAAGTTGCCCCTCCGAGACTGTCGACTGGTGCTGCGACTGCCAGGCCCGGCTCTGGAATCAGGACAGCAGGAACCGCCAAACCTGTGGCTGAAGCCCCGAAACCGATGTCTTACCGTGAGAGGATGGCAGCTGCCTTGCAAGCTGGAGCAGAAAAAAAACCGGCTGCAGGAACTATCACCCATAAAGCTCGACCTTTAGTGAAGGAAAAGAAGGCCTGGCAGTTGAAATTGGAAGGGCAGGGTGAAGGGAAAGGAGCGGATACTATGGCCGGTAGGAATAGTAAAAGTCCAGGCGTTTCCGGGGGGGAAAAGGCGGCTTCCACCTCAAAAAAGACGGCTGATATTGCCAAACCGGTGACGAAAAAATCGTCTAATGGAGCGAATGGTTCCGCCAATGGGGTTGGAAGTGCAAATGGTGCAAATGGGCGAAAATCTTCTATCGGGAATGGTGTCATGTCTTCGTTGAAGGGCAAAGATAAGGACAGGGGCAAACACTTGGAAGCCGGTATGAAGAGGAAGCGCGAAAGTCCTCCGCCAAAATCCGGATACTCTAGCTACTCAAGAAACAAATATTCCACCAACCACAAACGATATGGATATGGGCCCCCCCGGCCAGATTCGTATGAAGAAGACGATCCCGATGATGATTTCGTGGTTAATGATGAGGATGATGAAGACGATGCATATGGCAGGGGTGGTGGCTATGGCGGCTTTGCAAAGAAGAAGTATGTCGGATTTAGTCCGCTAGCTGTGTTATTATTTACAATTCAAATCACTCACAAGCTAACCAATCTATAGATATTCATACATTGATTACGATTCAGCCAGTGACATGGAAGCTACCGGGGCAGATGTATTGGAAGAGGAAGAACGCAGTCGTCGTGTCGCCGCCAAAGAGGATGCTGCGCAAGAGAAATTTGAAAGAGAGCTGGCTGCCAAAAAAGCAGCCCTCAAGAAGAAGGGTGTCCTCACGAAGAAGAAGTAATTGCGATTTCAAGGGCTTTCCAACGTTTCGAACATTCCCCGTATCACTATCACTCCCACTTTCATTTCCTGTAATATTCTTAGGCCTTTGTCGAAGTTCATTAGGTACATCTCCTGTTAGGCGATCCTTTCGCACCTAATCCCTAGCTAAAAACAGGTTTCCTGCTAAATTTTTTTTTTTTCATCTCTGGTGTTTGGAGAGGTCGCTTCTTTTTTCGTTCACTTTTCTCATTCTCCTTTCTCTCTTCTTTTTTCTAGAAAGAGGCCTTTGTAATGGGCAATTTTTCCTTTGTGGCTTCTTAGTTGTCACTACATGCTACCTATCTACCTACCTACCCTTTTTCTACGCTCAAATCAGGGCTTTTTTGTTCTGAGCTATAACGCTTTTTTCTCCCTCCCTACATTCTGTTGTATCAAATTTCTTCGGGCTTTTCTCTTGGTAGCGGTCATCTTGCGCCGGCGTTGTTCACGGACTTCTCTCCCATTTTCATCACCCTACTTATTTATTCTCAGCTACGGAACACACTGCTGCCTGACTGTTCACCCCTCTCTTTTGTCTCTGGATGTTTTCTTGTTTGCTGGTTGGAGTATGGTTGCGTCCTAGAGTAGTTGACTTTGAAGGTGAAATGGTATGATATCCGTTTTTCCCAAATCGCTGGTTGACATTTGGGGATCCTCAAATACCCGGACGATGGATGGATGGATAGAGCTGTGCGTAGCTCCGGTCTCTTCGGGTCAACGTGTTCACGTACGTACGCATGTATATATAGCTAGACGCACCGCAATTTCAATGAGATGATCGCAGATGTACGGATGTCCAGTAAGTCGTGCATAAATACGGGTGGCAACCGCCCTGGATGTATGATACTATAGTTGTCGCATCCTGTCAAATACTGCATGTATCATACTCGTACAGGAAGGCTAGCGGCGAAATAATTGAGTGCAACTCACTATGCGCCGCAGAGTAAAGCCGTCATCCGGATAGCGCAAAGCTTCGGG